TTAAAATCTCCAAAAACTCCAAGGGGCCTATGTGGGCTATCTTCCAAAATAATAGTACTAACAAGTTATGATCATATTGCTCTGAGAAAGATTCAATTAACCAAACAATTAGTCAGCTTACAAATATATATTAAGGCTCACTCTTCTAACTGATCTGGGATACAGAAGGATTGTAAGAATTAGTATCCTCCCTAATGGAGCTTTTATTCTAGTATGAGAGACAAAAGTAACACATAAAAGCTAGAGTTAGTTATAAGTGTGGGGTTGACTAGAGTAGAGGGTAGTTGATCAGTATATGTTTAATGAAATTAAGGAAGATTCTATAAATGCACGTCTGGCCAGAGAAAGTGGGGAGCTCTGGGACCAGAACAGCAGAGGCCCAAAGGCATCCTGCATGGCCAATTAAGGAATGTTCCTACTGCAGCATGGGGCCCAGGGAGCTTCATTTGTAATCCCTTGTTCTGCTTTGTTCCATTCTTAGACTCTGATATGGTTTGGCTATGTCCTCACCCAAATCTTACCTTGAATTGTAATAATCCTCACATATCAAGGCTGGAGCCAGATGGAGATTACTGAGTCATGGGGGCAGATTCCCCCATACTGTTCTTGTGGTAGTGAATAAATCTCAAGAGGATCTGATGGTTTTATAAAGAGCAGTTCCCCTGCACAAGCTCTCTTGCCTGCTGCCATGTAAGACATCCCTTTGCCCTTCCTTCATCTCCTGCCATGCTTGTGAGGCCTCTCCAGACATGTGGAACTGTGAGTCCACTAAACCTCTTTTCCTTGTAAATTACCGAGTCTTGGGTCTGTCTTTATCAGCAGCATGAGAATGGACTAATGCAGACTCCATCACAGATCTTTGGGCTAAAGATTTTACCTCAAGGCATCTGCCTTATTATTTCTATTAAATGGTGTAAACACAGTTTGCTCACCCATGCAATTGCCTTACTATGATGCTTCTTGAAGTCCAGCCTGATAACAGGGATACTATACAGCCCGTGACCAACCCAACTGACTAATTGGCTCCATTAAAACAAGAGACAATTGTGGGATAATCCAGATAGAGTTAGGGTTCATACCCAACATAAGGAAATAGGAATAGAGAGGGAGAACAGAGCTTCCAGTTTAGTGGATTAGTTCCATTTTTGCAACACTCAGGGTGCTGATCAAGGGATCAACTTTGGCAGGGCCTAGTTGCCATCTAAAAATGAGGTTCAGGGTGCTATTTAGAGCACCTTGCAGCAACATAGAGGACAAGGTTTGAGGAGAATTCTAATAGGTCTTACACAAAGATGTTGAACAAAGTAAATCTATAATATGTGGGTTTGCAAAGTATTCATGTTTTTTTCAGACTGGGAGAGGGGAGTCATCTGTAAAGAACGAATTCAGTGGATGGACACTGGGGAATGAATGTCAAGGGCAAAGTTAGGTATGAATGTAAGCTAGATGTTTGCTCAGGTAACTGTAGCCTGGAGTAAATGACAGATTATAAGAAGCCTCCTAGTCTGGGTGCAGTGGTTCACACCTGCAATCCCAGCACTTTGGGAAGCTGAGGTGGGAGGATCACTTGAGAACAGGAGTTCAAGACCAGGCTGGGTAACATAGTAAGATCCTGTCTCTACACAAAATTTAAAAAATCAGTCGGGTATGGTGGCATTTGCCTATAGTACCAGCTGGTAAGGAGGCTGGGGCTGGAGGATCTCTTGAGCACAGGAGGTCAAGGCTGTAGTCAGCTATGATTATACCACTGTAGTGCAGCCTGGATGACAGAGCAATAATCTGTCTCTAAAAAAAAGGAATGAAAAAAAAGAAACCTTCCATTAGCTTACCTATGAAGAAGCTGATTGGTAATATCTTAAATTTTCCTTCTGTGCTTTTACATAGAACCCTAATCTTGCAGTTGACTTGAGTCATCTCATAATTCCTTTGGGTAAAAAAGTATAAACCACTGTGGCCTGACTTTGTTTACAGCTGGGAAGGCCTCTATTTGATTGAAAATATAAATTAAGATATTGGTTTTACGTTAAAATATTAAATTATCTCTAGCTTTCAAAAAAGTCATAATTAAAGATCTTTCTTTAACCAAATGTACAAAGATCTAGCATTTCAAGTATTGAATTCAGTTAACTGAAAAATTTCTGAATGTTGAAGCAACAGGTTCTCTAATAACATCTTTTGTTTTTCTAAGGTTTATTCCCATGTTATGTTATATTACCAGAGAGCCATGTACTGGGATGATCTTTCTTTATATCCCCATAGAATTTCCTTCCCAGAGTTACAATTTAATGTTTTGTCCTCAGCTTTTTTATAGAGGTCAATATAAGAAATAGCACAGGAAAAACTTCTTTCTCCCTCTGCCCTTTACTCCGGGCAGAATTAATCCTTTACTTGTCTATGTATATCCTGTGATTTATATATACTGCTAGGGTAGCACTTAGGTAATAATATTATCATAAGGAATTTTGCTACCTTAAATAAATCTTCCTTATATGCTCCCCTTTGTTTTACTCTGAGGACTATAATCCTTCAGACTTTGCACTAATGAATTTAGACATTATTTTCTCTATAAGAAAGATCACACTGAAAATTACATAAAATAGGCTATTTTTCTGAGATACCTTTGTGGCTCGTTAGAACACCCAGTCATTGGGACTGGACTGCCACTCTTCTTCACTTATTCTATAAAATAAGTGAAGATGCAGTTGCTATCCCTTTTGGAGACTGTCTTTGAAAGTGAGGCCACTGGATTATGTATGATTGTTGGGTAAGGGGAGGGCTTTAAAGTTCTAATTTTTGTATGTGCCTTATTTCCATGTCTTATTTCCCAGATAATTATTTCCTTCTATGTCTCTGCTTTCTGAAGACAAAGGTACCTTTTTCTCAGCAATGAAGTTGGAGAAGAAACAGATTCAGGAAGAGTCCAATAGTGCCACCATTATTGCAATTACATAGTATACATGCCAAATCCACCCTGTCTTTTCATTTTACTTACCTTTCTCTTGTCCCACATACTTTTATTCTTGGTATGCTTACCTACAAAATTATCTTTTTTTTCTATTTCCATATTCCCTATGCCCTGTAGTCTTCTTTTATATTATTATTGTTATACTTATAAGTTCTAGGATACATGTGCAGAACATTCACGTTTGTTTCATAGATATACACGTGCCATGGGGATTTGCTGCTCACATTAACCCATCATCTACATTATGTGTTTCTCCTAATGCTATCCCTCCCCTAGTTCCTCATCCCCCAACAGGCCCCAGTGTATGATGTTCTCCTCCCTGTGTCCATGTGTTCTCATTGTTCAATTACCACTTATGAGTGAGAACATGCAGTGTTTGGTTTTCTGTTCCTGTGTTAGTTGGCTGATAATGATGGTTTCCAGCTTCATCCACGTTCCTGAAAAGTACATGAACTCATCCTTTTTTATGGCTGCATAGTATTCCATGGTGTGTATGTGCCACATTTTCTTTGTCCAGTCTATAATCGATGGGCATTTGGATTGGTTCCAAGTCTTTGTTATCTTTGCTATTGTGAATAGAGCTGCAATACTCATATGTGTGCATATGTCTTTATAGTAGAAAGATTTATAAACCTTTGGGTATATACTCAGTAATGGGATTGCTGGGTAAAATGGTATTTCTGGTTCTAGATCCTTAAGGAATCACCACACTGTCTTCCACAAAGGTTGAACTAATATACACTCCCACCTGTAGCCTTCTTTTAAATCCCCTTTGAAATGCCAGCATGAAAAATGTGTTTCCTTTCTCAGTCCTGTAAGCATTCTCCTCTTTCTTCTTTCACAGTGCCCATTTCTCCTACTTGATCTCATCAAATGTGCAGTCCTTTCTTCGTCTCCACTGTTATTGTACTTCCTTCCATGTTTGTTTCCTCCAAACTTATGTTTCTTTTGTCTTCCCATTTAACAGGCATCATTTCTTTTGTCTTAGGAATTTATTCTTAAGATTCACTTTTTTTCCCATACAGTCTTTGTACTCAAAGGCACAAACATCTTGAAGGTAGAGACCATATTTTTTCTATGTGCTTTATATTGTCACTGCAATTAAATAAACGTCTGTGTCCTGTTGAAGTCTGGAAGCCTGATAAGTACACTGAAGTAAAAGTCGCAATAAGCATGAATGACTGAGAGTAGATTTTGTTGCCAGTCGAAAAAACATTTAGGAGAACAAAATGATACATAAAGAGGAAGCAAGTGATCACTGACCTACTGGAAATCCCAGGCTGGACAAGGAGGTTCATGCCTGTAATCCCAACACTTTGGAAGGCCCAGATGGGAGGCTCGCTTTAGCTCATAAGTTTAAGACCAGCCTGAGCAACAAATGAGATCCCCTTCTCTACAAAAATTAAAGGAATTAGCCAGGCATGGTGGCCCATGCCCATGCCTGTAGCCTCAGCAACTCAGGAGGCTGAGGCAAGAAAATTTCTTGAGCTGGGGAGGTCGAGGCTTCATGGGCTATGATCATGCCACTGTACTCTGGCACCTGGGAGACACGGCAAGACCCGGTCTTCAAAGAAAAGAAAAGAAAACCCATACATTTAGCTCAATTGACTAAAAGCCTAAATGAAAAATATACATCTTTCAGCTTAAAGGGTTGTTTGGATTGATTTGTTGAGTAAGGTATTACTGTTTGGACAACTGTAAAAAAGACCCGTGAAAGCCATAGTTTAGATTGGATAAACTCACCCACCTCATGCCCTGTCTCTACTAAGGAAGGAGGATTAATTGTCAAAGAGTTTTTTTTATTTTACAATAGTTACAGTAATTATCTCTAATTCCATTTGAAACACCACATTTATTAAGGCAAACTTATTTTTGACTAGTTTCATTATTAAATAAAAATTGAAACAGAGTTTTTCCTATATTGGTAAATACTGATTTCATTTTAATTTTTTAAAAAACTGGAATGGGAATAACATGGGCTTATTTTTTACTGTTTGCCCAAAATATTTTAACAAAAGGCTATACTTTGTAAGGTAACTTTTTTTTTTTTTTTTTTTTTTTTTTTTACTGTGAAGGGATTAATTTTGTTTTATTTTTAGTACTTGCTTGCCGTTCACTTTAAAAAGTATCCTTTAGGCTTGTTAGTTTCAAAGGAAATAATATATTTCCTCTTGATTTAAGATGTCTATGCTATCATTAGATATTAATAGTAGAAATAATAGCAGGATTGCCTGGTACAAATTTGTCCTGTCCTTCTGACTAAGTAATAGGGTGCAAATGCTCCTTGCTGTGCTTCTGATGATGAAATAGAAATAACACTTCGCATTTTACAACACATTGTATTTCATAAAGCCTTTTACATTCATTACCTCATTTAATCATCAAAAACAATTTTGTGAAGTAGATAGTATTTTTCACATTTAAGTGTGAGAACATTGATGCTCAAGGAAGCAATGATTCAGCTGAGGACACAGTGAGTGTCAGTGCCAGGACTTAAATCTGTTTCTTCTCACTTTCCCTCTAGGGTCCTTCCCACATCATCACACTGTCTCCTTCTGTGCTTTGCTCTATCCTGCTGCACCAACTAGCTAGTGTCTTTAGCATACTACCTTAGAATAGCTAACACTTACTGAACGCCCACTTTCTGCCAAACCCTGTCTTAAGCACTTACATGTGTTACCTAATTCAGTTCTTGAAACTGATGTATGATAGGTAATATTATTATTTATTTTTATTTTTATTGTTCTTTAGGTTCTGGGGTATATGTGTTGATCATGCAGGACTATTGCATAGGTACATACGTGGCAATGTGGTTTGCTGCCTCCATCTATTATTATCTCCATTTTGCAAACAGAGAAACATAGAATTTAGATAGCTTGTTCAGAATGCCTAGCCAATAAGTGTAATAAGTAGGTCTCAAATCTGGACAGTCTGTCTCGGGAAATGCATGCTTAACCACTGTCCTCTATTGCCTCTTAAATAACGAAAGCCAGTAAAGATTTTATAAATGACTTTTCTCATGAATAATAGGGCCTGAGGTGAGTTTCTCAATATCACTTATGGCAATAAGAATTTCAGCAATCATAATCTTGGTGCATTTTCCAAAAAGGATGGCTCCCTATTGGGTAACACAAGCTGAAATGTGTATTCTGTTAGAAATCGTTGATTCCAGCCTAGGGAGGTATCAAGAATAATGCTGTTGCCATAAAGATGTAAGTCTTGAGACAAACACTGGAGAGGTTCTGTCATTCAATCAACTATACAAACATTTATTGAACACTTTTTATGTTCAAATGCTGTACCAAGTATCTGAATAATGTTCACATGAAGCTCAAAATCTAATAAAAATACATTTGAATACAGATACTTGGTAAATTCTCTAAAATTCACAAAGCTTCACCGACACGTGAAATTTCTTTAATATGGAGAAATTAAGGAAGGTTTAATGAAAGTAGTAACATTAGAGCTAATCTTTGGGTAAAGAAGAGGAAAAGACAAATTGTAGTGCATAGTATAACCGTATATAGGTTCTTTGGAGATACCTCATTGAGTATAAAATTTTCAGAACTCACCTTATGAGTCAATAGGAACTTTATACACTGATGAGAATAAAGTGTGTCGTTTCAAAGTACACTGTCCGTGGCATGAGAGTAACCACCACATTGATACTTGTTGAAGAAAAGTTCTCCTGGGTTCTTCCCAGTCTCCCCTCCTTGGGTGCCAATTAGGCATCTTACGAAGGACAAGTCGTCTTCCCTGTTCCGAAGAATCGATTTTTATAGTTATTTATATCTACTTTTCATGAACATGCAGTATTCATTTTGATTATTGTTAAATCAATATAAATTCTGAATGAATTTCTCTGACTTTTACTTTGCTTATTAAGTTGGAGACTCAAGGGCAATGCAGATGAGAACTTCAGATTCTTCCTTTGAGAAGATTTTTGGTCAGTGGCTCTTTAAGAAGACCCAGAGCAGGTTGTGTATACTTGGTAAAATCAGATACTTGGTATATACGGGGTTTTTTTTGTAACATCATGTGAGGATTTTTTTAATATTGTTTTTTGATTTTTCTCATAAAAATACAAGATTAGCAGAGTGCTCACGTGGTATTTTTGTGACATTTCATTATACTGCCATAAGGTGGGAAGTGGTGCCTTGGTTGTGGTTTTGTGATTTGAGTTGCTAGGTTGCAGCAAAAATGTGGTAAAATTTCCCACCATGAGGATTTCTTTGCTGAAATGTACTGCCCTTCTTAAAAAAGAAAAAAAAAAAATAGCTGGAAGTGTTTTCCAATGGAAAGTGACTAATAAAGAAATCAATAATGAAGGAATATTGTTAGACTGGCAAGAATCACGACGACAATGTTAAGAAAACATTGTACATATTTAACTTATTTAATTTCTAGATCCTCAATATCATTATTAAGAGTTTAGCCGGGCGCGGTGGCTCAAGCCTGTAATCCCAGCACTTTGGGAGGCCGAGGCGGGTGGATCACGAGGTCAAGGGATTGAGGCCATCCTGGTCAACATGGTGAAACCCCGTCTCTACTAAAAATACAAAACATTGGCTGGGCATGGAGGCGCGTGCCTGTAACCCCAGCTACTCAGGAGGTTGAGGCAGGAGAATTGCCTGAACCCAGGAGGCGGAGGTTGCGGTGAGCCGAGATCGCGCCATTGCACTCCAGCCTGGGTAACAAGAGTGAAACTCCGTCTCAAAAAAAAAAAGAAAAAAAAGAGTTTAATGAGTTTTGTTTACAGTTGTTTTTCATTAAGTGTCCTCATCATACTTAGCTTAAATTATGTATCTAAATATGTCTCCTCTATGAAGTTTTTTGTGTTCAGAATCAAGTGATCCACTAATTTCATTAAGCAGTAGATGTATATATTTTGATACATATCAAAGATGAAGTGTAGCTCAGTTCCCAAAAAACCTACTAACTGAAAACTTCAGTTCATGTAATACGCCCAGCATTCACCCTCGTGGAATTTAGACAGGAGGGATTGTGGCCTGTATGTTTCACTATTGGAACCTATCTTAGTAAAATTCAAAGAATAGTTTCATTAGTAATTTCTTCAAAGAAATCTGCTTCAATTTATTCAGATGTTTTGTAGTCCCCCCTTTGTATTGAATATAAAGCACCGAGTTAAAGAGGTAAAAATACCACAATGAACAAGATAGTTTCCCTCCTCTGGGATCTGGTGAAGAAATAGATATGTAAAAACTGTAAAAAATAAAAAAAAAAGTACAATATAATTATAATATAGGAAAATTAAAGGCCATTCACTTTTTGTAAATTAAAAGCTATGGAAAAAAAAATGAACAATATTTTTTTCTAATTGGCACAATGTAAATGGGATTGTGGAGAAGCAGTTTGTATTTAAGCCCAAAATTGAACTACATGTACTATTTTTAAAACTGGAGATTTAAAGGGAACACTGGTGGCAAACAGAACTGTCTCAACAAATGAACAGAGATTTGGAAAGGCAGATGGATGTCACATGGCTGGAGGACAGGTACACAGCTGATGGGGCAGAAGGCAACTATGAAAGGTTTGCAGAAGTCAGATTGTCAGCTTCTTTTAAAGCCTGCAAAATGTGTACACTTTATTGTGTAAACAATGGCAAACAGTAAAGGTTTTGAACTGTAATGATATAGTGGTCTGGAACAAGCTATTCAGAGCTAGCATTTTAACTTACAGTAACCCAACTGTGGATTGTTACAGTAACTGAACTGTGGATTTTTATTTGCATGTATCCAGAGTTGTTCCCTACCTTTGCAAGGTCAGTGTCTCAGTGAAATGCTTTAAATACCTTGTCCTTGAAGTGGAACCTCAACATCTTCACATTGCTCTTCTTCTTTTAGAGACAATGTCTAACTATGTCTGCAGGCATGTGCCACTATGCCTTGCTAATTTTTTATATATTTTTAAAGACGGAGTCTCACTATCTTGTCCAGGCAGATCCCAAAATCCTGGCCTCAAGCAATTTTCCCACCTCAGCCTCCCAAAGTACTGGGATTACAGTAATGAACCACCACCATGCCCAGACTTATCCCTCTCTTAAAAGTTTTTGTTTTCAACAAATTCATATGAGTAGGATTAAGATAAGCAATAGTACAACTGGATATAAGATGAAAAGCAAAAATCTCCTCTCCTGTTTATTTTGCAGAGGAAAGCACATTTGATTATTAAACTGATACATTGTGTGTATTCATTTTTTTAAATGTATTAGATTGATACAAAAGTGATTGCAAGTTTTGTCATTGAAAGTAATGGCAAAGAAAAAGTTCTAGGGGGTCTCCACCAAGATGGCCAAATAGTAGCAGCTCCGGAGCACAATTCCCAGTGAGAGTGACCCAGAGGGTGAATGATTGCCTCATTTCCAATGGAGGTACCAGGTATATCTCAGTGGGACTGGTTGGACAGTGGGTGTAGCCCAAGGAGGGCGAGCTGAGGCAAGGTGAGGTGCTGCCTCACCCAGGAAGTGCAGGGGACCAGAGGACACCCCTCCTACCCAATAGATGCCATCAGGGGTTTTTCTAGCCACTCTGGCACTCCAGTTAAGATACTGCACTTCTCCTGCAGTCTTTACAGCCCACAGACCAGGAGATTCCTGCCAGCTGACAAGCGCCATGGGTTTCCAGCACAAAAACCCACACAAATCTGGGTGGCCATTCTAACTGGTGCTGGAATGCCTGCAAGACAGAGCTGCATATTCCCCTGAAAAAGAGAGGGCTAAAGGCAGGGAGCCAGGTGATCTGGCTTGGTGGGTCCCACCCGCACAAAGACCAGCAATCTGAAATGCACTGGCTTGAGAGTTTCACAGCCAGTACAGCAATTTGAACTGAAGCCGGGACAGTAGAGCTCTGCGGGGGAAATGGCGTCCACCATTACCAAGGCAGTCCACCATTACAACGGCAGTCTGCCGTTACTGAGGCAATCCACCATTACCAAGGCAATCTGCCATTACCGAGGCAGTTCTAACCTTACCTGTGTAAACAAAACTGCAAGGAAGTTCACACAGCAGCTGGGCAGAGCCCACACAACTAAGCAATGCCTCTGCTGGCAGACTGTGACTAGACACCCTCCTTGCTGGGCAGGGCATCTCTGAAAAAAGGCAGCAGAATGTCAGGGACTTATCAATAAAGATCAACCTTGCCGGGACAGAGCACCTGGGAAAAGAGGTGGTTGTGAGTTCATCTGCAGCAGAAGTAAATGTACCTGCCCAGTAGCTCTGAATGGAACAATGGAGCTCCCCCCACAGCACTTGAGCTCTGTTAAGGGACAGACTGCCTTCTCAAGCAGCTACCTGACCCCTGTATATCCAAAGAGGCACCTCAAAAAGGAGAACTCTGGCTGACAGCTGGCGAGTACCCTTCTGGAATGAAGATACAAGAAGAGGGATTAGGCAGCAACCCTTACTGTTCTGTAGCCCCTGTGGGTGATTCCCAGGCAAGCAGTTTCTGGAGTGGACCTCCAGCAGTTCTGCAGCAGAGAGGCCTGACTGCTAGAAGAAAAACTGTGAAACAGAAGAAATAGCTTCAACATCAACAGAAAGGACATCTACTCAGAGACCCCATCCAAAAGTCACCAACTTCAAAGAATATAGGTAGATAAATCCATGAAGATGGGAAGAAACCAGTGAAAAAAGGATAAAATCACCAAAAACCACAATGCTTCTCCTCCTCCAAGGGATCTCAACTCCTCAGCAGCAAGGGAACAAAACTGGGTAGAGTATGAGTTTGATGAATTGACAGAAGCAGGCTTCAGAAGGTGGGTAATAACAAACTTCTCTGAGCTAAAGGAACATGTTCTAACTCAATGCAAAGAAACTAAGAACCTTGAAAAAAGGTTAGACAAAATGCTAACTTGAAAAACCAGCTTAGAGAAGAACATAAATGACTTGATGGAGTTGAAAAACACAGCATAAGAACTTCATGAAGCATATACAAATTTCAATAGCCGTATTGATCAAGCAGAAGAAAGGATATCAGAGATTGAAAATGAAATAAAATGAGAAGGCAAGATTAGAGACAAATGAATGAAAAATGAACAAAGCCTGCAAGAAATATGGGATTATGTGAAAAGACCTAATCTATGTTTGATCGGTGTACCTGAATATGACAGAGAGAATGAATCCAAGCTGGAAAACACTCTTCAGGATATTATCCAGGGAAATTTCCCAACCTAGCAAGGCAGGCCAACATTCAAATCCAGGAAGTACAGAGAACACCACAATGATACTCCTCTAGAAGAGCAACCACAAGGCACATAATCATCAGATTCACCAGGGTTGAAATGAAGGAAAAAATGCTAAGCGTAGCCAGAGAGAAAGGTCAGGTTACCCACAATTAGAAGCCCATCCGACAGACAGTGAATCTCTCGGCAGAAACCCTACAAGCCAGAAGAGAGTGGGGGCCAATATTCAACATCCTTAAAGAACTTTCAACCTATAATTTCATAGCCAAATTAAGCTTCATAAGTGAAGGAGAAATAAAAGCCTTTATGGACAATCAGTTGCTGAGAGATTTCATCACCACCAGGCCTGCCTTGCAAGAGCTCCTGCAGGAAGCACTAAACATGGAAAGGAACAGCCAGTACCAGCCACTGCAAAAACATACCAAATGGTAAAGGCCATTGACACAATGAAGAAACTGCATCAACTAATGGTCAAAACAACCAGCTAGTATCAAAATGGCAGGAACAAATTCATACATAACAATATTAACCTTAAATGTAAACACACTAAATGCCCCAATCAAAAGACACAGACTGGCAAATTGGATAAAAAGTCAAGACCTATCAGTGTACTGTATTCAGGAGACCCATCTCCTGTGCAAAGACACAAGCAGACTCAAAATAAAGGGATGGAGGAAGATTTACCAAGCAAATGGAGAACAAAGAAAAAAGCAGAGATTGCAATCCTAGTCTCTGATAAAATAGACTTTAAACCAACAAAGATCAAAAGAGACAAAGAAGGGTATTACATACTGATAAAAGGATCAATGCAACAAGAAGAGCTAACTATCTTAAATATATATGCACCCAGATACATAAAGCAAGTTCTTAATGACCTACAAAGAGACTTAGACTCACGCACAATAATAGTGGAAGACTTTAACACTCCATTGTCAGTATTAGGCAGATCAACGAGACAGAAAATTAGCAAGGATATCCAGGACTTGAACTCAGATCTGGACCAAGCAGACTTAATATACATCTATGGAACTCTTCACCCCAAATCCATAGGATATACATTCTTCTCAGCACCACATCACACTTAGTCTAAAATTGACCACATAATTGGAAGTAAATCACTCCTCAACAAATGCAAAGGAACAGAAATCATAACAACCAGTCTCTCAGACCACAGTGCAATCAAATTAGAACTCAGGATTAAGAAACTCATGCAAAACTGCACAACTACCTGAAAACTGAACAACCTGCTCCTGAATGACTGCTGAATAAATAGTGAAATGAAGGCAGAAATAAAGATTTTCTTCAAAACAAATGAGAACAAAGACACAGCATACCAAAATTTCTGAGACACATATGAAGCAGTGTCTAGAGGGAAATTTATAGCACTAAGTGCCCATATGAGAAGCAAGGAAAGATCTAAAATCAACACCCTTTAATCAAGATTAAAAGAGCTAGAGGAGCAAGATCGAACAAATTCAAAAGCTAACAGAAGACAAGAAATAACTAAGATCAGAACAGAGCTGAAGGAGACAGAGACACAAAAAACCTTTCAAAAAAATCAGTAAGTCCAGGAACTGGTTTTTTGAAAAGGTCAACAAAATAGATAGACCGCTAGCCAGACTAATAAAAAGAAAGAAGAATCGAATAGATGCAATAAAAAATGATAAAGGAGATATTACCAGTGATTGCACAGAAATACAAACTACTATCAGAGATTACTACAAATAACTCTATGCACATAAACCGGTACATCTAGAAGAATTGGATAAAATCCTGGACACTTATCCCCTTCCTGGACACTTGTACCCTCCCAAGACTAAACCAGGAAGAAGTTGAATCCCTGAATAGACCACTAACTAGTTCTGAAATACAGGCAGCAATTAATAGCCTACCAACCTAAAAAAGTCCAGGTACAGATGGGATCACAGACGAATTCTACTAGATATACAAAAAGGAACTGGTATCATTCCTGCTGAAATTATTCCAAACAATACAAAGAGGAAATCCTCCCTAGCTTATTTTATGAGACCAATATCATTCTGATACCA